TATCAGGCAAGGGTTTTCATAGGTGTGAAGTCATGGTAAAGTGATAATAGTCATAATTATAGGATGATAAGTCACAGTTATAAAAACGTTTCTTAAAATTATGATATATGTCATATTTGTGAAAACCTTTGAAATGATGAGCTTGCAGATGAGATTATATCAGATTTATGGTGTGTCATAGTGTCTTATAATAATGAGAATGTATAGTATATTGATTATATAATCGTATTGCCTATTGCAATAACATAAAACTCATTCATTTAAACAATGATTACCAGAACTTCCACCTGAAACATTACCCCTTTATATCTACATTAACTGTCAGGATTGCTGTGTGGCACCAGGACAGTGCCTTGGGTTTCCCCTTCCATCTATGTACGTCCCACCCTATGACAGTCCATGCATCAGGTGGACGGCACTATGACCTGTTAAACCCTACAACCCGATACACTCAAACCATTCTTCTGAGTGAGTTTCTAGGTTAACATCAAACTCAGACAACCACAGTGACTGCACAGGCTAACATACCGACAAGATAGCAAAAAAACTGACCCAGTTGGTACATGCTTACTCTGCTCATCAACAAATGTAATGATGACACTAGAAATACAGTGTGAGCACATTGAGATTATGGACTTCTGGACTGTGGGGCTGATTGATTGGTTAATTTTCTAGCTGCATGCCACTGGTTGTTGTGTCTACTCTGGGTTTATGGGATTAAGACAGTTTATTTATAGCAAATGGCACTATGAGTTAACATGGATTGGTAAAACATTGCAGTTCAATACATTTAGTTTACTGCCCAGCCTTCATTTGAACCTCATAATTATAAGAGACTTTCCATAAAGTGAGGGAGCTAGCGGTCAGGGAGCAGTCATAGTACAGAAAGAATGAGCATCATAATTAACTCATGACCTCAGTTTCAGGGGCAGACCATACACTAAAATGGAAGACACCAATTTATCTAGCCCACAATGTAAAATCAAGACCGTTGGATTTAGTCTCAGGACTAAAGAGCTGATCTTAAGGGAGAAGCACATAGCATGAGTCATGAGGCTGGGCCAAATGTTTGGCAGCATGATGTAAAAAGGAGCATATGGTGAAGTGAACACCCCAGTTCAGTCAGTCATGGAACAGCCCATCCTGTCCCACTCAGCTGTCAGCATACATCCTCATCACTATTCATGTCTGCTGGGCCAACCCCGGCACTGACGCAGCAAGCCAGCAAAATGGCTCAAGCCTCAACATGAGTATTTGGATGTAGATGCAGAATAACAATTTGACAATTGAACACTGACATGAACAGGAACCTGGCTCCTTTTATCTCCCACATATTTTTCTCTTTTTTTCCCCCATCCGGTCCCTCAACAAAGTGACACAGTTGCATGACTTGGCATCAAAGTCGATGTCCTGTGAATTTGGTGCCTTGCCCAATCACATAATCCAGTGGCTCTCACTAATTTATGGAGGAGCCTATTTGCCTCTTGTTTTAGGCAACACATTCTGCATTGCCCTGTTACATTTAATCCACATTCCTTTAGGCTTATATTTCATCCTCCTCAACTCATAAAATGAGTTTTATTTTCCATTTGTAATAATGTGCCTGTGTGAGCCCAAAACTGACAGCTGGTTTCCAGGTAGCTGAGTCAACACATGCAAAAACTTTATTAGTTGTATTTCACCAGCACTTCATTAGTGGGGTCATTTAAGTGTCAATTAATGTCACAGCGCTTCACACGGTGTTAAGACCAGAGCTCCTCTTAAAATACACTCAACTTACAGAGATGCTCGTAACTAAAAACTGATTAAAATGTTATAGCTAGTTAACAGTCGTGTAAATGGTGTTTTAGGCTAACTAAAGCATGAAGAAGCTGCCTCCATGTATTAGCTAGTGTGAAAAAATATGTATTTTTGCACAGCAGCTTTAAATGTTATAAAGCAAATTGAGCTAAGTAAGCTTGAAGAAAGAGAAAACTGTTTAAAGCTACCGTTAAGCTAAATCTGTAACAACGGAGCCATTAACACCGACAACACAAAGCTGGAGACTTACCTTATCCTGTGGTATAAGGGTCAGACCAACCCCAGACGGAGACACAGGGGCTTTAACCACCAACAACAAAAAACCCCGACGTCCTATATTCCAAAAAAGTTGCCCAGAGATGAAACAGCACCGCCGACTCAGTCTGGAAATGATGAATGCGGGTGTTATTGGGGCTACAGCCTGTTGAGGGGGGGGGATCCTGATCCAGCCCACACACACCTCAAATTTTACCTTCTCGTCTGACTGAGCTCTGGTCTCAACGCGCCCCGTCCGCTCACACACACAGATGAACGCTGAATGGAGAGTTTTCTGCAGCCGGAGTGCGTCCACACTCAGAGTCCCGCCCACTGGACTATATACTAAATAAAGTTGTGTGTGTGTGTGTGTGTGTGTGTGTGTGTGTGTGTGTGTGTGCAGTGGTGGTGACAGGACTCTAAACATGCCATTTAAATGAATAGTAAATGAGAATATGTATCCAAAGATCTTTTAAAAACCCTTTTTATTCTCATATATCAACAGGTTATAAAAGCAGTGGATGTGGTTCTTATATACAATGACTCGCTGTGATTTGTGAGTCATGCCTTTTGCTCTCTGAGTCATGCTTTCTGAGGCCATTTTATAGCAGATCATCGTATGTTGGTCTACATGGACTTGTACTGATCAGAGTAATAATCCTGGTGATGTAAATTCAAGTGCAGTGGTGAGATGCATCAGTCCCCAAAGTTTTTCACACATAATCCAAATAAATCAGCACACGCGGTAGCGCCACCCTTAGGTCAATCAGTGCAATGTAGACCATTAATAAATCAAGTTGCAACACCACAATGTGAAAAAGATCCGTTACACGTAGAAATCCATGCATACCCCTGTGAGTGTTATATTATATACCTGCATAATATAAGTAGCATTTTGATGTTGTGTGGTGGAAGTGGAGCATTTTTTACTTTATAAATGGTTACATTGGGTAGTGTTGTCTATCTATTGGCTCATTTTTTATAAATTCATCTTTGTAGATGCAAATTTAAATCTATAAAGTAACTAATGGAGCAATGAAATAAAATCAGTGAAGTAAAAATGCAGTAATGTGTCAAAACTGGCATAAAATGGTAATATTCAGGCAAAGCACCTCTGAACTACAGTATTTGAGTAAATGTAATTCCACCCTCAGTGTACTCCTTTTTAACAAAGCTCAAGCTCTTCATGTCTTATCGTGTAGTCAGACAGTAGTCTGTATTTCCCACGACTAGAAAAACTGTCTTTGACATGTAAAATCAGTGTAGTGCCCCTTCAGGATTAAATCAAGTTATCTTTTAATTCAAAGTGTAACTCTAAATTAAAAGGGCCATTGATAGTTATTTAACAGAAAACCCTTAAGGGACCTTTTCAAAGATTTTCCAGGCCATAATCTGGATAAGATTTTATTTTTTACATCATAATGTTCCTTTACAAAAGACAATATCAAATTTGCCTTCTCCTCATGTGCAGGGTGAAGACCAGGTGATGTAGTGTACGCTAAAATAAGTCTTTTACCTGCAGCATGTTCACACCCCTGGCACCTGCCTGGATTGTTGATTACACTCTCCAATTCTGCATTGCTCAGATTCTTTCTGTATGTTTTTGTCACAAGAGCAACTCACATAACGTCACATTGCTTGGCAGATAAGCAGAGGGTCACCATTTTAAACCTGAATCAGGAGGCTTTCCACAAGGTCTGATGGTTGCACTCGCACAAAAAAGTCTTGCACTCATTTGAGTTTTAAATAACTAGTATACCTTGTGTGAGTTCAGTGTTGTGTGATAGTTAATCCAATCAGTAGTGAGAACAGGTAAAGGAGGACAGCTCTAGGTCAACTCACCATTTAGTCAGTCCACTGGCTTGTTTTTTAACTGCAAGCTAATTTAAGTTTCTGTACAGACTCTTCTGCTGCAATAGCTCCGAGACAAAGGTCATAAGAATTGAAAACGTATAATTTTATTAAAACATTTTTAAAAACATCCCAGCTAGTATCTCAAATCCTTTAAAATGTATTTCATTCAGCCAGAATATGCTTTATCGTGGAGTCAATACATGCACACACACAGCCAGTTTATACATTGTCAAAGACACATACTGCCTATAGCCTACTGAATATGTGCAACCACAACAAAACCAATAATAACCAATAATAGCCACTCTTGCACTTCGTTCATGGACCACTTTAATACAAGTTTAATTTAACAGCTTAAAAGAAGATTATAGTCTTTCTTAGTTTGTTTTGTCAATATCAGATACGTTTAAAAAAGCATGAATCATTGGACATTTACTTTAAATGTACCTAATAACTACCGACATCACCTTGGTTGTTAGTCAAGACTCAAACTTTTTCTCAAGGTCTTTTTTTAAGTAAATGAATGCATGTGAAAAAACAGAGCAAATGTATTTTAAAAATAACATTTGTTCCAACATTAACATGTTTTCTGTAAATGGTAATATTTCTATTAGCATCATATGACAAGATCTAATTGATCTACAATAAATAAGGTCCATGATGTTGTCATAATCACACAGGCTCACTCTTTTATATAAAATCTTTAGATAAGATTGTGCATGGTGATTTGGTCCCTGCTGTTCATTGACCACTTCACAATATAACCTGCAGCTTTTCTTTGTTACCATTAAGGACGCTATCCTTAGAGTGACTGTCTCCAAATACTGCCCAATTATCAAAGCAGAATGCTTTTACTGTGTGTAATAAAATATGAGTCAATATTTGAGGAAGATTTCCAAAACAATTTAAACTTGATATAGCCTATGTGTGTGTACGTTTGTGACATAAACAACGATGTAAAAAACATTAAATATTAATACAAAGAAATATCACTAAATTCTCTGCAACTGTGGGACTGAAAGTTTAACATTTGAATATTTATTATATATTTTCTTTCGATAAAGAAAACAACCCGTCCAGTATTGCATTGTTTCACTGGAGGGCGCTAACACAAAGCACCAGGTGGTCTGGGAACAACTTGAGAAAGGAGGAGGCCATTCACTAGCCTGTTTTAGCTACACACACCAAGCTACTGTTAGCTAGCCGGCGGCTAACGGGCAAGCTAAAACATCAGTTTGTCTTAATGTCGCCTGTCTTATCAAGTGATGGCGAGAGAACAGTGTTCACAAACCGAAGCTGGTGAGTGCCGAGCCTCCCTTTCATTTGCATTCACATAGTTTGCAGCGAGCCAAGTGAGCCGAGTGCAGCCCAAAGCTAGCTAACGTTAGCTCGGCTCAATGGTAACATTAGCTAGCTGGTACCAAGCTAATACACCTCTCTTTCTTTCTTTCTTTCTTTCTTCCCAGAACTGTATTACCTCATTGCCAGATTTCTCCAGTCAGGACCCTGTAAGAAAGCCGCACAGGTAAAAAACAACAACAACAAACAAGATATGAAGTCACAGCGGTTATAAACGGTCTGAGTAAGTAGCCGATGTTAGCAGCTAACGCTAGCTGTGTGTGTGTTGTCAGATTCTGGTGGAGGAGCTGGAGGAGTATGAGGTAGGTTCAGCTGCACCTTTCTGTCTTTATTCTCCTGTGTGCTTGCTCTGGTACTGCCTATGTCGCCGCTTTTTCGGCCACTCTTCTTTTTTTTTTTTTTTTTTGTGGCTGGTGTTTGTGAAAGCAGCGCGTTGTCGAGTCGAGAGGACTCTGGTAAATTGTTGTTGCCATCTCTGTAAACAGCCTGTGTTTTAACTTTAGCTGGTTCCTGAACGATGGAGTTGGGACGGGAAGAAATACAACCGGACCTTCCGAGAGTGGGTGAGTGGGAATTCTCGTAATTCACTTTTTAATCAAACGAATCGTGTAACTTCTATTTTAATCGACATTTGCGTCTTAGCGGATGTTTATATTTTTAAGTCAACCAACAAACCATAATTGACGCGATGTTAAAAAAAAAAAATGTTTGTTTATTAGAACACATTTAGACATTTGTATTAGTGTGGGCCTATTGGTAAATAACTGGGTACAGGCTTAGCTATTGTGTGGGCTAATAGGAGGAGAATAGAGACAGGGGAAGGTGGTGATTGGCTGAATCACATCGTGGAAGCTGTCACTCTTCTGCAGGAGCCAATGAAATCCCAGTTGTGTTTGCGAGCGAACCGGAAGAATAGACAGAGAGGATTTTGATTGGCTGTGAGCTTTTATGCTCCTCCCCTTTCTTTATCTCCCCCTCCCTTCGCTCTCGATTGTTTTTCAACTAGCAGCATTACAAAACCATGCTACCAAATTATGAGTATAAACAGGAAGCGGAAAAAAAAGAAACCACGCAATTAGTTAAGTCGTCTTTGAAGAAGTAGATAGTTATATGCTTGTTATTACAGAGCATAGAATTTGTTTGTTGTCTTTATAAAGAATTATTAAAAAATCCAATAATATTAAAATATTATTAATTCTAAATGGTGTTTTTTCATTTCAGTGTTTAGTTTTATTCACTTCTTTAAGAAGGTTGTGTTCCAGTCTCGTATCTTGAATAAATTCAGAGAGAAAGTTGAAAGAGAGAAGAAACTAGTTCCTTTGGTTTGTGTCTGTTTGTTTGATAGACAGGGACACAGCAGTGGTTGAGTGGCATAGAAAGTGAATGGGGAGGGCTTGCTGGTTGCAAGAAAGCTGATGAATCAGAGAAATAATATGCACAATGAATCAGAATATTATCAAAATCATGTGTGTATTGTAATATCCAGTTGCAGGTTTTTGGATAAAGGTAAATGTGTAACAAAACAACATTATAATCAGGTACCTGCTTCTGCAGTGCATGTACGTGGCTACTGTCTTGCTTTTTATTTCGGCGCCCATGTTAACAGATTAGAGCAGCCACACTGCCCGTGTCATTGCTCATCTCAGCTGCGGCTGCAGTGACGCTTCACTAGAGAGTCTACTTTTTCCGCACCTGGTTCCCAGCAAAAACAGACAGTGAAAAGGGTCTGTTCTTTGTGGTTAGCTCACGTGTGAGCTGCAGCAGTTCAGCAAGGCCATCACACACTGCTCAGGTAGGCAGTGGTCGAACCAGAACATAGGCTACATGTAGATATAAAGGTGTCAGCGATGTTGGAAAAAGATTGTTGATATTTGAAGTTGACAGCTGTGTTGTGGAGCTCTGGCCCCTGTGCCCCCTGTTGCTGACTGGCTTGAATAGTGTGGCTGCGCACTGACAAGTGTTAAATTACCCAATCTGTACATATCACAATTCTTAAAAAGTAATCATTTTAGTTTTTATGGTTATTGCTGATAATCATTGTGGTAAGCTGCCTCTAGTAGAACACGGCGGAATCTCTGAAATATTTTGTAAAAATTAAATAGATAAACTAAAAAACATATAATACTATAACTAATAAAATACTACAAAATGTTGAATGTAAGTTTTGCATTTTGTATAATATTATGTTTCAATATCGGCCTGCAACGTTGTCACATTCATGAACGTCACACATGCATGCACCCATGATTAGTTAGGAGCTAAATTAGATGGTAAGCAGTGGGAATTTCCCCGTTGTGGGATTAATAAAGTAATACAACAATAAAATGAATGGTTCAAAGACACCGAAATCATAGTTTCAAACAGGAACTATTGGCAAGAGAAGTGTGGCCCGGGAGTACATCTTTTCCACCAAATTAGTCCTGGTTCTTGAACTGGTTCATTTAGGATACAACAACTGTCAACAATAATTGATCTTATATTAGGAATAAACCTCCCTTCTACGTGAACTGTCCATAGCTCAATAGGATACACTAGTGTATTTTAACGTCAGTCATAATGGTGGAACCCGGAGAGGCTAATATTTTCTGAAGTTGTACGTGGTATAAAACATTGCAATATATATAAAAAGAGAAACACTGATATAAGGAATTATTTAAAAAATATGTTTTATGTATTTGTGTAACAGCCGTTATATCATTGTCAGATTTTATAAGAACTTATTTAAACTATTTTCATTGGTATGGTCTTCAAAAATCCAGCATCAGTCAGTTGAAATGATTGTCGTGTAATAAGCAGGCTGTTTAATCTGTTTATCAAAACTGTTTCAGTATTTGTTATTAAATACTACCTACATATCATAACACTTTCTATTACCGTCTCTGTCTTCTACAGGTGATTTTGAACGAGCACATTCCTGCAGACTATCTGCTCCGCGTTTGCCAGCGGATAGGCCCACTTATAGAGAAGGAGATCCCACCTAGTGTTCCTGGAGTCCAAACACTTTTGGGGCTGGGAAGACAGTCCTTACTTCGTACCACCAAAAGTGAGTTTTCCTCCCATCCACCATAGTTATTTAAAACACATAAGTACTGCTGTTATTTATTGATTTATTGTGTTTATATGCTTTGTTGCAGTAGATCTGTACAATATACTTTTTAATGAACTACCTGTGTAATTTAGGTTGTAGCCACAAAGTATGCAGTGGCTCAGCTGTCGCCGCACTCCACCGAGGACGTCCACCAGAACCTCCAGTCAGCAGTGGAGACCCTCCCAATGTTGGTGTGTGAAACTTAAAAAAAATATTCCCATTAAAAGGAGCTAAAGCCCCTAGACAAAATGAAGTAAGGTCTGCTTTAGCTTTGGTTCCACTGATCATTCTTGTCTGTTTTTATATGAAGTTTCCATCATGGGTGCTCGCCAGGCCACAGGCACAGCTCGTTTCAACCAGGTCTTGCCGTCTTCCTCCTACCAACACATGAAGATACACAAACGTATCCTTGGCCACCTTTCTTCTGTCTACTGTGTAGCCTTTGACCGCACCGGCCGTCGGATATTTACGGTGAGTGATGATTCTGGGCCGGATGATTACTGCAGTAAAACTTCATCTGTAGTGTCACATTTATGCAAACTTTCAGATGTCACAAAAGATTTTAAAAAATGCAAATCAAGTATCTTTCCATTGGCAGGGTTGAAATATGTGAATAAATACTTCCAGGTCATGGTAGGAAGTTCTGTTGGGAATGGGGCTTGGGCGACTCATCATTTAATCAGCATCATCGTTAAAGAAAATATGTCAATTTGCATGACGTGCATCTCAGTGAAATACCACACCCAGTCAGTGTGTATTCCCTTCACTTCATAAAACCTTGCCTGTGATCATCTGAAGTGTGGAAGTATTTTAGACAGACATTCATACAGTAGCAATAAATATTTTTGAAAAAAAACACTAATACAATATAATTCAATAATCAGAATAATATACGGTATAAAATAAATATCCTTCAGTTCAAAAGCTTTGTTAATTTGTCTTTGAACAATTACATGACACAAATGATGTTCACAATAACTCACAAGCCAAGATTTATGGTACGCTCCTCAGTCAAAGGTGGTTTCCAGTGAAACTGTCTTATTTATTTCAATGTCATATGTATTTTAGGGTTCTGATGACTGCCTGGTGAAAATCTGGGCCACAGATGACGGCCGGCTCCTGGCAACGCTCCGCGGCCACTCAGCAGAGATCTGTGACATGGCCGTCAACCACGAGAATACTCTCATTGCCTCGGCGAGCTGTGACAAAACCATCAGAGTGTGGTGCCTTCGCACCTGTGCACCTATCACTGTTCTGCAGGCCCATGGTGCCTCTATCACATCCATACAGGTGAGACTGATTCATTTAAAGGAAAAACTAATAATAAATGGGTAGCTTTGTTTCAGGCTTCTTCAAAACAACTGAAGTGGCCATAAAATTAGCCAAATCATACACCATAATGCCAGTTTTCACTTATTCTAACTAGGGATATGCGCGATTACTTGACTAGACAGTTACATGTTGCTAATCTCACTAGTCGACGTCCAGAAATACTAGTCGGTTAAACTAATTATTATATTGTATTAAGGTAGAACGCTGGTTAATTGCGTCTTTTAAGCAGCCACTAGCCACTATCCTGGTCTGCAGCCCCCGGTCCCTGCCCTAATGCCACTGCTGGTTTTAAGAGTCATCTTTTTCCCACTTTAGAAGTTATAGTTACATTTCGTGACTGTGGTTGCTTTGAGATTCTGGCAGCTGATTTCACTCTCTACCATCTAACCTCAGAGATAGTTATAAATGGCACTATTCAGGGGAAAGAGGATGGTAGAACTGGCATTGAAAAGAAAATAGCCAGTGTATGGTAAATTATGATGACTTACAAACTAGCGATCACATTATAAAACACCGGTCAGCCTCACTGTATATGCTGACCGACAGCCGATGTTTATTTAGCTAACGTAGCTTTAGCTTACTTGCTACCTGAAAGATTTAACATTATCCTAATTCACAGCGTTGTCCAGACAATATTGTCCATATGTGCCAATTTCAGTTGTATCCCATTGTGTTTACTGACATGTACATGCCGATAATCTAATAATCTGCCCCTGCATACCTAGATAACTAGTTGACTAGTCTAAATTAAAATTTTGTTTAATCGATGGCAAAATTTGTCATCATCCCGATACTAATTCCAATGTCAGCTTTCACAACACTAGTTGTTTACTATACTGTAATATTGTGTTAAAGGTTGATAGTCACTCCCTGCCTGTGACTAACCAACACTGACTTTCTATCACTTTAGTTTTGTCCTGCTGTCAAAGGGACAACTCGGTACCTGGGCTCCACCGGTGCAGACGGGATGGTGTGTTTCTGGAAGTGGCACTCGATCAGCATGAAGTTCAAGTAAGTGTTGAGACATCTAGTGGCATTACAAAGTCTACTACAGTTTCATGGAAGTAACAACAGCTTTTATGTTCCCTCAGTGATCAACCAGTCAAGTTTGTTGAGCGGTCACGTCCAGGAGTACAGGTCTCCACTTCCTCCTTCAGTAGTGGTAAGTGTATTTCCTTGCCTGGTATCGTTTTATTTTCCAGATGTGCTTGACCTAAGTTTCTGTGAACAGCAAACCAAACCCAGACAACTAATTTATGCATCGACATTAGGTTACAGGGGTATTCAGTGTGACAAAGTCATTTGAGTGACACAACAGAGGAAAACACATTGTAACACATCATTTAGGCTCACCTGAGTAAATCTATTGGGAACATTGCAACATTTTAAAAGCTTTAAAAAGTTTTTTGATAGTTTGTTTTAAGATTCACTGTCAGATGTAATTAACATATACAAATAGCAACAGAATGAGAGCATTTACATGTGGGACTTGGCCAAAGGAGCCTAACCTCAGAACTGCATTCTGTGTTTACTGTTAATAGGTGGTATGTTCATGGCTACCGGTGGCACTGATCATTTGATCAGAGTCTACTACCTTGGTGCTGAAACTCCTATGAAGGTCTCTGAGATGGATGCTCACACGGTAAGAAACAAAATGCAGTAGCTACATCACTCAAACTGCATTTAAACAAGGTCTCTGTAACTTAAATACACATCTTCTTTTTCTGTTTTTTAGGATAAAGTTGTTGTTGTTCAGTTCAGCAATAACATTGACAGGTGAGTGTATTTAGCTGAGATCTACATAGAGTCCAAACTGTTTTTTGTCTTGTTTTTGAGCCTCTTACAGTTAAATGTGTATATGTGTCCAGCCTAAGGTTTGTGAGTGGCAGTCGTGACGGCACAGCCAGGATCTGGCATTACCAGCAACAAGAGTGGAAGAGCGTCACTTTAGATATGGCTGCCAGGCTACCTGGGTAAGAGAGTAAACTGTATTACACAATGGCATTTCTGTCTACATAAACCATTTTAGTGTTTTGTGTCTGATGAGATATTTTCCTCCAGGAGTACTGTTGCCAGTGGAGATGATAAAACCAAGCTGGTGGTGACCATGGTGGCCTGGGACCGTGCAGATAGCACTGTTATCACAGCAGTGTCAAACTATCTGCTCAAAGTCTGGAGCACAACCACTGGACAGCTGCTGCACGTTTTATCGGTGAGTAGCTGGAGCTGGAACGTTTACTGTGCAGCTGCTTTAGGATTAAAAAAAAAAAAAGAATAAAACTGAATGTTCGTGCTCTCTCTCTCTCTTTAAGGGTCATGATGATGAGGTGTTTGTGATGGAGGCTCACCCATTCGACTCCCGTATCATTCTATCTGCTGGCCATGATGGCAACATTTACATGTGGGACCTGACCAAAGGAGCCAAGATCCGCAACTTTTTCAACATGGTAATTTATCTACAATGAGAATCGCGTACCAGTAGTGTTTTTATTTGACTCTATCATTAATTTCATATTAAAATATTTGTTTCCAGATTGAAGGGCAAGGCCACGGTGCTATTTTTGACTGCAAGTTCTCAACTGATGGGCAGCATTTTGCCTGCACTGACTCACACGGCCATTTGCTCATCTTTGGCTTCGGCTGCAGCAGACCGTATGAGAAGGTAACACCACAAACCTGTTGCTTAAAACATATTTACCATTAATCATTCTGTTAGTTCCCATTCTGTTACAGGAACAACATTCGGAATCAATACAGTTAGACTGCATGGTGCATTTGTGGTTACAGACCTGAATTTAAGCCAGTGTCACTAAGGATCCTTCTGCAATACTGTAGGGAATACTGCTGATAACCATCAAGAAGCTTTCTGTTGTACTTACTCTTTTTCCTGCTCTGCCCTGTGGAAGGGGGGCAAGCAGTATATTTGAACTCTTTTCATCATTATCAACACAAATGTCCTCTTTATTCTCCCCAGATTCCAGACCAGATGTTTTTCCACACGGACTACCGACCTCTGATCCGTGACTCTAATAACTACGTGCTGGACGAGCAGACGCAGCAAGCCCCACACCTCATGCCTCCACCCTTCCTGGTGGATGTCGATGGCAATCCTCACCCTTCTCACTACCAGCGCCTGGTGCCAGGAAGAGAGAACTGCCAGGATGAGCATCTCGTACCCCAGCTAGGATACATGGCTAACAGTAAATCACGCTCTCTCATAACTCGTACCATTCAGAATGCTTGCTCAGTTTGAAATATAAATAAATATAACTGACAGAGTTTGACCCAAGATTTGCCTTTTTGTTTCTTAGGCGATGGAGAGTTGGTTGAGCAGGTACTTGGCCAGGAAACGGCAGAAAACAGAGAGAGCCTATTGGACAATCTCATCAGACAGTTGCAGAATGAGCAGGACGAGCGTCAGAATGCAGACCCACTTGACGAGGCAGACGGTATGTTTTCCTTCACATTTTAAATCATGCCTGTAAAACTCTGAGATTTATTGTCAAACTAACATAACAAACTTATTTTTTTCTCATTTTTAGGTGACGATGCAGACGCAGAAGAGGAGATGGCTTCCTCGCCGTCTGCTGGACCACGCAGAAGTAGGCAGGTGGACGGGGTGTGGCAGATGCAGCATAATGCCCTGCGTAGTCAAGTGGCCACCGAGAGGGACCTGCTGGCCTGGAGCCGCAGAGTGATGGTCAGTGAAGTGCCCCAAGGGATATTCAGGTGAGGCGGATGGAGGGGATTCAATCAGATGAAAGTTTAAGTGAGCCTATTAGAGTTTTAAACAAATCAGTCTTTCTTTCTTAAAGCTTGTTAGTCATTGTGTACATTTCATGATGGAAATTATTCTTTTTTTATTAGAGTTTTGGAGGAGTGCAGACAAGCCAAAGGCGACATGGAATGTTCTCTATACAATGCAGAAAGGAGAAAAAAACCAGTATCCTGCACACCCAAGGTACACTGTTCTTCACTTCACACTTGTTTTCACAAGTCAAAAATACTATCTGTGCCAGTTAATTCCAACTTTCCTCATTTTCCACCCTCCTTCTGCAATTTGTAGAGCGATCTGTTGACTTCACGCCTGCGCTCCCTGAGGCCCACAAAGAAAAAGCAGCAGCGCCACGCCTATCAGACACGCTCAGCTCAAGTCCGCCGTCCTGGGACCAGGAGTCGAAATACCAGCAACCGACGCAACTCTGACAGCCAGATAGACTCTGACAGTGATGGAGAGGTATATTCCAGTCTGTCTGTTCTAGACATCCAAACATGAGTTTGTCAGTAATCTGAATCGAAAGTTACTGGAACTTTCATCTTTAATTATGTTAATGAACATGATATTTCCATTGTATATTTTAGAGACCTTTTTAAAATGAAATGTTGGCAATGATACATTATTTATTCAGTCACAAAAAAAGCCATTTTAATTAAATAAAAATGCTGTTTAATCGCCAATAAGATGGAAATGATATCAAGCAGTGTCTGTTAGCTTGCATTCATAATACTAAGGGTGCTTTCTGTCTCTTTGTTGACAGGCAGCAGAACAGGTGGAGCAAAGCGAGGCCTCCTCTGATGGTGAAGCTCAGTGGCAGGGTGAAAGCAGCTCCAGGTAAATATATCTTTGACTGAGCAGTGTTTTCAAGATGTAGTTCTAATCCCCCACCTCAACCACAACACCTGTCTTTCATTCCCAGTGACTCCTCCAGCGAATATTCCGATTGGACAGCTGATGTTGGGATCAACCTCCAGCCGCCAAAGCGATCAACCAGGAGGCCCGTACAGCCCCAAGGTTACAGCAGCTCTGAGGAGGAAGAAGGTGATGACAAGGCAAAGGAGACCAAGAAGAAGGAAAACGAGAAGAAGAAGAAGAAGAAGAAGCAGCCCAAGGAGACAAAACAGGTGAACTAACGCAAAGTGCAGCTCCTGAAATCACAGTACAAACATAGTCTTTGTAAAGAACATTGGTTGTGCTCCATTTTTAAACGCTAAGCACACAGTACAGGAGAAAGTCTATATGTAAAACATATTGTTCAAACAAATTGTATATACTTAGAAACCCACATCCTCCCTGGCCGGACTTGACGCGGAGGAGTGGCTGCCACCATCATGGATAATGGAGACCATCCCACGCCGCTCTCCTTTTGTTCCACAAATGGGAGATGAGGTAAGGGCTGTCACTCTAATATCAAACAGAAAAATGCATTACATTACATTAATTTTGATTATTGTTCTCTTGTCCTCCTCCAGCTCATCTACTTCAAACAGGGCCATCAAGCCTATGTCCGGGCTGTCCGCAGGGCCAAGGCCTACAGCATCAACCCTCAGAAACAGCCCTGGAATAGACTCGACCTCAGGGTGAGGCACTGTGTTATTTAAAAGCCAGTGTTGTGTACCAACCCTTACATGCTCCATTACACAAGCTGTTCAGAGAGTCTGAAAACAGCAGATAATTTTTCCCAATCATCACAGTCCTACTTGCGTCCTACTACGTGCCACTGAACCAGATAGTTGACCTCTGTATTGGTAAGACTTAATAGTCTAGTTGCAGGTTTGTTAGATTAAGCACAACTTATTCTTCACCAGTTAAAGTTCAGTGTTGAATTCCTCGCGAAGTGGACATGCAAATCTGCTTTGCCACTGGAGACGAAGGTTTTATTCTCCTCGTCTCTCACATAGAATGGAAGTGAAGTCAGGGAGGTGAATATTATAGATTTTGAATTCAACACTATTAACCTTAACGATTTGTCTCAAATGAACCACAGTGTTCTATTAAAAGTGTTAAGGGTGTACCTCCTTAAGTTTTTCTTTTTGATTTCTATGCTTGATCTTGTTCATTCATCCTAAATCTTACCTTTTGTGGATTTTCTTCTGCCCCTTCAGGACCAGGAATCTGTAAAGGTGGTTGGAATTAAATACGAAGTGGGTCCTCCCACCCTCTGCTGCCTAAAACTAGCTTTCTTGGATCCAGTCTCAGGGAAGATGACCAATGACTCTTTCTCCTTAAAGTGAGCATTAATCTACAGTATATACAGCACAAGATAATGTTGATTTAAACATGCATTAACTTGGATTTCACTGCTTGTTTAATTTCCACAAAAGGTACCATGACATGCCTGATGTCATAGATTTTCTGGTGCTTCAGCAGTTTTACAACGAGGCTAAAGAGCACAACTGGCAGCCAGGTTAGTCTTTTGACCTGAAATGTTTACCACTAATGTTCATGGTAGTCGGCAGTCCTTCTCTTACGTTTGATCCTCCTGCCTCCAGGTATGAGGTTCCGCAGCATCATTGATGACGCCTGGTGGTTCGGCTCTGTAGAGGACCAGGAGCCTCTGCAGCTGGAGTATCCAGATAGCCTGTTTCAGTGCTATGCTGTAAAGTACGTCTGTATCCTGCAGTGTTTGTGACTGTATCAGCAGTGCTTTCTGTTAATGAATGAAATGTTCTGCTCACCCAATGTCACTTTTCAATAAAGTTAAGTAAAGTGATTGTAATCTCACACACAGTGTGGTTTAATGACTTTCTTTCTTGTTTCATCAGGTGGGATAATGGTGAGCGAGAGAAAATGAGTCCCTGGGACATGGAGCCTATTCCTGAGGAAGGTCAGTGAGATTGAACCTTGTTATAAACCTGTGCAATTACATTTTTAAATGTTATCATTTATTAGATTATAGACCAAATGTCAAAAGATTTAACACTTTAGAAACTATAAACACAAATGCATTGTTTTGCTTCGTCAGCTGCGTTGCCAGACCAGGTTGGTGATGGCGTGGAGGTGGCAGAGGAGGAGCTAAAGGCTCTTCTTTATGGGCCTCAGGAAGGAGAATGGGGGGCTCACACACGAGATGAGGAGTGTGAGAGAGTCATCCACGGCATTGATCAGCTTTTTACACTGGGTAGGCTACCACAGGGTTCATAACTGTTACGGGAAAAGTCTAACCTGCATGGCTGCCATGTTTCATCTCCTTTCTGATTGTCCACAGAGGTAGCCAAGGCATTTGCGTCACCAGTAAATCTGCGGGACTACCCTCTGTACTGCACTGTGGTGGCTTACCCCACTGACCTCAGCACCGTCCGCAAACGACTGGAGAACCGCTTCTACAGGTGGAACGGCATGCCTAACCTCAGTCACACATTTTTATCTTGGCTATACATTCAAAGTCCTGATGCCAAAGTGTTCATATTTGAGTTTCACTTGCGGATGTTCTTCTCTGCTGCAGGCGGATCTCTGCATTAATGTGGGAGGTGCGCTACATTGAACACAATGCCCGCACTTTTAACGAACCCCAGAGCCCCATTGTAGCAACGGCCAAGGTGGTGACTGATGTTCTCCTGCACTATATCGGGTAAGACTCCACAGACCTCCTGTTAAAACCACCTCATTGACACTTCAACACTGGAAGAACAATCAATTTAAAAATCAATACTATGTGTCTGATTCCTTGGTCCTGTGTCTCCTTCAGGGACCAGAGCTGCACAGACATCGTGGATCTGTATCACAGACTGAAGTGTGAGATCAGCAGTGGAGGAGAAGCTGAGGTGAGTGACTATTGTTGTTTAGTTTTCTACATTTTGGTGACTACATTTTCTTTAAATTTTTGTTTTTAATGGTCATTTGGGTTTGTATGTGTTCCTCTGCAGGCTGACTTGGATGTGGACTCTGACACTCCAGGAACATCTACGGGACATCGGGTAAGAGGGACCAGTGAACCATAACAGTCCATCTTAGACCATCACAGACTTGTAATCATCTGTGGTAGCTCCAGTCTTGGTTAATGTCATGTTCTCTCTGCCAGGGAGCCAATCCAAATTCTAAGAAACGTGGTGTGGTTTTGGATGTGAAAGCATGGCGAAGTCAATGCCGAGAGCTGGTGCGTCGAATGATCGCCTCGCCGGATTCAGAACCATTCAGACAGCCTGTGGATCTCTTTGAGTATCCGGTAAAAGAACCTAAAACAAACATCACTTGCAGTTATAAGATCACTGATGCCAGAAAACACAACTCAAAATAACATTAGAAATGCATGCCACAGGTGTAAAAGTAGAATTCAAATTGAAATAAATCTGTACGTGAACATTTCGGTTCTCTGCCTTGTTTTGTTCAGGACTACCGAGACATCATTGACATGCCCATGGACCTGGCTACAGTGTCAGAAACACTGATTGAAGGGAATTACGAAAGCCCGATGGAGTTTGCCAAAGACGTGCGCCTCATTTTCAGCAACTCCAAAGCATACACACCTAACAAGAAATCACAGGTGACGTAGCATTCCCGGGATTAAAAATGTGTTGTTACTATAGTCTGACATAGAAGTAGTCTAGTGGTTTCATTACAACTCTCTTGTTTCTTGTCTAGATCTACACCATGACCCTCAGCTTGTCAGCCTTCTTTGAAAAAAACATCATCTCCATCATCTCCGACCACAAATCTGCAATTCAAAATGAACGGCGGGCTCGTCAGAGACTCAGTTACAGGGACAGATTGCACAACGGAGGCAGCTCCCCGCCTAATAGTCCATCCCCCAGGTACTGAGCCTCATTCACAAACCTGTCAGTCGACACTCCACGTTATCAAATGTCTGCCGCTCCTAAAAATATCTCAAATGTGCCGCAATAAACTTAAGGCCTGTTTTACACTTTACAGCTTTTGAAATACTAAAAATATGGTTTCTTGTTTTCTCTTTGATGCCTTGCTATTGTGTCATGTGGTTAATTATTCTGAAATGTCTTTTCTATGTTTCCATATGTCCAGCTCTAAAGGGAAGCACAAGTCAGGGAAGGTGTCAAAGTCAAAAAAATCCCAGACCCCAACCAAGAATCGTTCTCAGAGACCATATCAGGGTATGACTGCACTATTGTGGCTTCATGTGGTTTTAGGTCCCTGTGTTGTGCAGGATCTTGCTGTAAATTGTTTTGGTATCAGTGTTGGGGAAGAAAAAACTTTATGACATTAATTCATTCATGTCATTACCCAAAGAGAAAAGTTTACTATTTGTTTTACATTACTTGACAACTGGACAACTGATGAGTATGTTCCACTTATCAAAGCATCATATTTTTGTTGTGCCGTGAATCATTTTATAAGGAGTACATTCTTGACCTGCTCTATTTGAAAGGTGTCCTGAAATAACTTTTGTTATGAATTGTGTTGTTTCTTTAGCTCAGAAAAGCAGCAGTGTAGCAGAGGAAGAGGACATCCAGCCTTCTTCACCAAGTTCAGGGACATGCGAGAGCAGAAATGAAGGGCCCCATCGGGTGACTCGCAGCCAAGCAACTCCAGTGAAGAAGTCAGGTATGACGAACAATGCATCCTAACCAAAAATGGATCGACGCCTTTTTGTTGTAAATGTGAGTTTAAAGTCACGATGCAGAAACGAACCACCCTCCTCTTGTGTTGTTTTCAGGGCACAAGCGTAACTTGCACCTAAGTAACGGCTCCAGACAAAGCCACAAGCGAGAGGCGCTGCAGTCTGTCAATGATAGGGAGGCGTCCGGATCCAACAGCTCCTCGTCAGAGTCCTCCTCCACCTCGTCATCCTCCACTTCCTCGTCATCGTCGGACAGCGAAAATAGCTCTGATTCTGAGATGGAAAAATACGTGGAAGGGGGAGACCACGACTACAGCAAAGCCCCCTGCCTGTCAGTACGCCTGTCAGCTAAGGGTAAGGTGTCGGCCTCAGGGAAAAGGAGACACAAAGGAGGAGAGGAGGCGGCACAGAGACCTAAAAAAGCACGAGTGCAGCTGCCGGTAGAGCAGGAGGAGGAAGATGAGGAGGAGGAAGATGAGGAGGAAGATGAGGAGGAAGATGAGGAGGAAGGGGAGGAGGAAGGGGAGGAGGAAGAAGAAGAAGAAGAGGAGGAGGACGAGGAGGAGGAGGAGCAGCAGCAGCAGCAACAGGTGGATGTAAAACATGAAGAGGACGCGGGAGAGGAGGAGGAGGAGGAGGATGAAGAAGAAGAAGAAGAAGAGGAGGAACCTGAGGAGGAGCCTGAGGAGGAGCCTGAGGAGGAGCCCGAGGTGGAGCCCGAGGTGGAGCCCGAGGAGGAGCCCGAGGAGGAACCCGAGGAGGAGGAGGAACCTGAAGAAGAGGAGGAGGAGGAGGAGGAGGACAATTCTGAAGAGGTGCAGAGAGGGGCAGCGGCAGCAGCAGCCAGCAGTTCGAGAGGCAACCAGTGCAAGTCTCAGCGGGTCAACACACGTAACCAGGGCCGCAGGACAGTTCTGTACCGGGACGACTCAGAGGATGATGGCCATGGGTCGAAGGAAGACCCCCTCAACCTGGGTAGATCCCGCTCAGGACGGGTACGCCGCATGACTGAGAAAGCCCGCGTCAGCCACCTCATGGGCTGGAGTCACTGACACATCGCCACCCCTTCTCATACCTCAGTAAAAAAACTGTTCAACATGAGTAATACTTCAGGGATTTTTTTCTTTCTTTTTGTACAAGTGTATATATAATATATATATATATATATATATATAAATATATATATATGATTTTTCTTTTTATCTGAGACTGCTTTGACTCTCAAACTGATAGCTGGTGCTCTTGATGTGTTGCCAAGGAGTTTTCTTTCCCTGGTCGACAGAGCTATTTGTTCAACACGGACCCTCTCCAACTGGACTAACTCACCTCGGCCTTACCGCTCGCCTCGAAACACGGCACTGCTCTCCTCTTCCTCGTCCTGTGCGTTTCACATCCGGGACTAAACACTATACCCCCTCCTTTCTCCTCCTCTTGTCCCTCCCACAACTATTCTTACTCCTGGTCACCAAAGAAGGATGTGGAGATGCCAAAAAAATGGTGCTCATTAGATTTCTCCATTTTGTTGACTTTTCTCGACAAGTAATTTAACAAAGCTATTCGTGCTAGTGGTCTAAAGTTCAGTCATGACCACCGTGAAAACGTTTGCAGTATCACTAAAGGTTACTGATGTCAACTTTTTTTGGTACTCGGTCTTTCCTCACAACCACAAGCCTTAGTTTTCAGAGCTCACATCAGTCAGGTTTTGTGCGTGATCTGTGGCTGGAGTCGAGACAAAGTGTAGTTTGGGCACTAGCAATACTGAGGAATCAGAGTGACTTAAGTCATTAGAATATAGTACCATAGTAGTATCTCAGCTCCTAACCCCCCCCTCTGTCGGACAACTTGACGTCTTTGGCCTGTGAATGTTAAATGTGTTCCCTGCTTCCCCTTCGGTGGTGGTGACTGTTTTTCAGCTCTTTGATTCTGGTATTTGGTTAGAATTGGGTGCTTTTTTTAAGAGTAAAGCTGATTTATTTAATTTTTTTTCCTTGGGTAAAAACGCCACTGCATCCTGTTTGTATTTGTACTGTTGTACCTGATGGATCAGACATGCATCCATTCATGGTTGCTTCCATCACACCTTCTCCTCCCAGCATGTGCAAAAGCAAAGGGGTCCTTTGGCCTACTCTCTTCCACAGAAATATTTATTTTTCCATTGTATTATACTTGGGTTTCTTTAGCTATTTCGTACATTAATAGTGATGAGGAAAAGGAAATATTTGCACATTTATCTACTCCACTTGGCAGCTGAGTAATAAAGATATTGGAGAAAGAGAAATAAGGTGGGACTGATGATTTTTGTGTTAGAATGTTTGAACTGTCCCAGCACACATTTATTCAGTCTTTTGTTTTAAATCATTTTTAGCTTGAATACGTTTCAGCCTGTGTATGATGAAGCTGAAGGTCTTGTTAGCAATCTAAATCATGCTTTCTAATGGCCTGAAGCAAACGTAGCAACCGTGGATTATCCCTTTGTTAGTATGTTGTGCCATCTTTCCCCCCTTGTTTCTAACCACCTATGGATTGGTTTTTGGGTGAATCAACTGCGCACATGATTGCTTTTCCCCCGTAATCTATTACAATCAGAATCGCTAGTCTAGTTTTTCTGCCTAGTTTTTAGAAAGAGTGATTCCTGGCAGTGTTTCCGAAATCCCCCTGTGGAACTGCAAAATGGATGCCTCCTGTTGCACCAACATTGTTTACTTTAAAGCTTGTGCAGTTGTCGATTTGCTATGAGTCAGTCATGAGAAACCAGGAAAGCTGAATCTGAAATTCTCATTTCAACACTGGGTGCTCTAATCCAAACCCACCTCCTCATTACTCTGCCTCTGTGTGGTCAGCAGCATGAGAGAGAGGCCTCGGAGGTTTGTTTTCTTTTCCCCTTTTTTTTTTTTGGGCTTAAGAGTTTGGTTAGTGTCGGGGTCTCAGCGATGAAACACACAAATCGGCATCTAGGGTGCTCCAAGCGGCAGCATTAACTGGCGTCTAGAAATGATTCTGGTTGAGTGTAAGAAGACTAAGATTCGTATTTTAGAATCTTATTTTCATATAGTAGATGGCTCTTAGTCTCGCCTAACAATAACATTCTACTGTAGGTGGAATATGTGACTGTCTTTTATACAAAATGTTTTGATTGTATGTGTTTCTTTTTTTAATAAAAAATTGGTTTTCTCCAAATGAATTTGTTGATTTGATGCCTCCATGATGTCTGCTGGTGTTCAGGCAGCACAAGCTTTAAAGAGCTGTGAGTGTTATAAGCAAGGGTGATAAACATGCACCAAAGGCAAAGATTCATGAGTTGAAGAATACTGGGACTGTTTATCGATCGTGGTAGACGGTCATAAACCCGACTGTACCATTTGCAACTGCCTAACTGCATTAATGCACTGAAAGCTGGGGTGAGTCAGACGAGGAACAAACAAGGTTGAGCTGTGACGCACCGTGCTCTGCCACACCTAGAAACTGCAGAGATGCTGGAGGATCATGGGAATTAAAAGGGATCAATCCATAAAGAGGTAAAGGTCAGTTTAAAGGGTGCTAAGGGGACAAAGCGAAGTGTGTTGAGAACAAATGAAGAGTAGGTGACTAATGTACCACTATACTAATATTTAAAAGCCTGAGTTTCCACAGTAGTGTGTGCAGATGTTCAGTTTCTGGATAAGGGCAGAACATATGGTCAGGTAAAGATTGGGTAAGCTGTCTTTATGAATAAATGTAACAACAGACCAGTGATGCTGGTGTTTTTCATCAGGGGGCACCAGAAGTGGAAAACCCAAACAGTGTTTTGCTGGAAAAGTGTCTATATTCTATATAAAGCATTTAAGGACTAAAGGCTGAACTAGACGGTAATCTAAATAATGCAGCATTTGTGTGCAAATGTACCAAAGTTGAACCTGAGGCTTAGGATGTATATGTACTGCTTCCTCTTTTTCAGTTTACACAATATTTCAAGTGTCCTCGGCATATATATATATATACAGGATATTCTTATAGTACGTCAGTAGTTTAGAAGAGGACCAGCCGGAGGATGGGCGTGGGCATTGCAGGCTTTGCAATGAATGAAGCTGTAGAAGTGCAAACATTTCTTTTACTCCCAAGACTAAAACTACTCTAATGCTTTAACCAAAGACAGGCTATTGCTGTGTTTCTTACTCACTTGCTTTATTTTGGAAATAAATGTATTTAACTTGGGTATGGGTAAAAGGTTTATGATCATTCCTAACTATACTAAACAGCAGCTCTTCACAACCACATGCTCCACACTGGCCTGATAGAAAGTGAACTTTAGATGTGTTTACAGGAGTTAGTATGAAATTGGAAAAACTGCCATTTTTTGAAACTGACTTAAATTTCATCCACTCAAATAAATGAATAATACTGTTAAAAACATTAATCTAAACACTGCCTTATGTCATGCATGTGTATAAACAGATTTCTCAAGTATTTATCTCTGACCGCTGCAAAGATGCCTGTAAAAAGGTTTGTGCACTTTGCATGCCAACAATGCCATGGCACCAAGAAACCACATGATACAATCTAGCTGTTCAAGGTAACCCTGAAGAGGCGATTATACACCACCATTTCATTGAAAATGCATGCAAAGACAATTACCTATCACACAAATGACCTTGCAGCTTAATGAAAATAAAACAGTGTAACTCAGGCCACCAATGGAAGACTCAAGACAACGAGTGGTTGTGTTATATTTATTACCACAATAACACAACAATCTGAGCAACTAGATATAATAACAGGAATATTTTAACTTCTCTACTGGTGAAACAGATCCTTAACAGTACACAACATACCCAAAGTCTCTAGATAGATACATCACTTTAAAGCTACATAGGGTACTACCGCATACAGTATTTTAGATGTTTTCAATATTTAGTTGGAGATTCACAAGCATGTCAGAAACACCTTTATTATTCAACAATAGCTATGTGCATTTACATTGTGCTTCAGTCTCAGATTTAGTTTAAACAGCCCACATGTCCTGTGCTTTAATTGTCTTTTTTTGAAATACTGAGAACATGTACTGTAGCTATGCATACACAATGAACAAACACACAGGGACAGAGTGCAATAACCGCTGGCTGCATCGTGGACTGAATCATTTAAATGTGCAGTAACATTTTTGCTCACAATGGTAGGCAAAACCCCAACAGGACGGACATTCACTACGTCCACTACAACAAACAACGGTCACCAGTAATACACACAGGAAGTCTGTTCAACCGGTTGAAGGTGGAAATTTGAGGGGTAAAAAAACAGAATTCAACCTGCTCTCTGTGTTTTCAGCTGTTCACTTTAGATTTGTGAACATAATTTTCTTCAAAATGCAAAACAGACAGCCAAGGCTTTCTTCATAATGCCACCAGGAGGCGAATCCTTGTGCTGTTTCTCTGACACGGAGTAGGAAGATTGATTTGATAAAATGCGGGGTGAATTCAGGGTGATATGGCCACAGCTCCTGCTTTATAACTTCTATCACTTTGCCAAAAATGATTACAATGCAAAAGCACGACTAAACACTCCCTAAGACCATAAACTCTGTCACTAATTGGGATCAGAGCCACTCTGAGCTTGGTTTAATATTCTAAGGGACCATAGGAAAATTAATGGGGCTCAGCTGATTGGGGCTAAGCTTTTCTTAACAGCGTAGTTAATAGTTACATAAATACGCTTTTAATAGTCAAAGAAAACATTAAAGGCCCTGAAAACATTTAATATTTTTTATATTTTTATTAAGAGTGATGGGGTCTTACAACAACACACATTTTTTTCAAGTTTGAACAGTTCTGGTTGTTTCACATGAAAGATTTCTGTTTTTGAATCAAAATCTTTTGAGAGTTGGTGGGTTGTTTGCTCATGATGCCCAGCCACTGTCGATAAAATCTGATTGAACCACAGGCACACAGTCCTGATTTGCTGAGTTTTAGAGTGTTAAAACTAAAAGTAAACAATAAAGAGGTTTTTTTCAGAACTTTAATTTTGATTGTTTAATATTCACCAATATTCAATGTGTAGAGAAATACTTAAGATACGTTTTCAGGGCCTTGATTTATGTATTTATTTATTTTACCAAGTGAAACATAGGGTTCAGCCCCCCTCACCACCCAAATAATTTTCTTACAGTCCCTAATGGAACTGAAGCTTCAATCTCTCGTTTCTACCTTTGAAATCAGGTGTTTACGTTCACAAATACAGAACTTACAATATCATGAAAATACCACAGCAAATTTAGTCTAATCTATGCCCTCAGTGAAAGGTGTCCTATTTCTATACAGTGAATACACAGGTACAGCCACATGCTGAAATTTACTCCACAGAGACTGATGATTCACAAAACAGCTGTACAGGGTTTTCAGAAATGGTAGGAATGTGTTATTATTCAAACTTGAACCAAATCAAGATGTTTATGTTCTATAGATTATGTTTTAATATGTTAAAGAAGTTTATCTTCTAGCCACAGAGAATTATCACATTACATTCTCCTCAACGGGGGAAGGTGACCAGTACAGAGCCCTGCCAAAACTGAGCCGAAACAGCCGTAAACAAAGTCCCTTCACTTCAATGAAATCCTCTCTGAGAGCTCTCTCCAATGTGGGCTCTTGGCGTTTTCTTTCCTTTTCAAAAGTGTTCATCTTGAAAGGGTGACATGCTTTGCCTCCAGACCCCTTTCAGTTCTGACCTTTCATCATCTTTCATGTCATATGCAGGAGGGATTTCAAAGCATTAAACAACACTGCGCCCGTGGTTGCCCGTTGTTGTTAAAACTTCCATTTGTGCCTCTGCTTGCAGAGCACCATGCTGAAAGCAGCCTACATGCCTCCCTGTGGGCATGTCACTGTAGCTACACCAGGCCAGTCTGCATGTGGACATGGAGTGGGTAGGGGTGGTAGACGAGTGGGGGCTGGGCCTGGGTGATGAAGTAGCTGCTGTAAATTGGCTCTGTCATGTACGGGGCGGGCTGATAGAAACAGGTGACATTGGCCGTGTTGGGGATGGCATTCTGCTCGCCCAGAACTCTCAGAGCCAGGACAGTGATCATGTTGAGGGTCTGTCTCCTCTCGTGTCCCATCAAACACACCGTGCTTTCATCTATCACGCGCCGCAGGGTCATCAGGTAGTCGTACTTGCTCGCCTCCTCGTTGCCGATGAAGTGGCACTGCAAATAGGCCTCAATCTTCCGCTGCTGTTCGCTCACGTCTGGAAAGTCGATGAAGAAGCGGGAGCACATGTATCGCTCCAAGGACTTGATCTCTGTCTCGCTGGCTGGTCTGAAGTTCCTCACCAGCAGGTCACTGTATTTTAGCAGGCCCCCTCCTCGAATCTCCTCTGGGTTGCGGGTGGCAATGAGGCGGTGGCGGAGATGGTCCATTGCCTGTTCAAAGTCTCCGTACATGCACTCTGCTTCGACAGTGATGGTGGGCTCCTCTACTGCCCCGGCCCAGGAGCTCACCCTGCAGCCTTTTGGGACAGTGTCTGCCAGCTCAGGTGTTTGCTCGCTGATCTGAGGCTGTGAGGCCACATTGGCTGCACATGTGCGGCTTTGTGTGTCTGAATCAGGAGGCTTCTTCGAGTGCTTTGGCTTAACACTTCGTTCGACAGTTTCACTCGTCCCAGTCCTGTCTTGAAGCGTACTGGCTGGACTGTATGTGGGAACTGTGAGGGTGTCTAAGGTCTCTGGCTTGGAGGCTGGAACATTTGAACAATGAACTTGAGCGCTGTCCTGCAAGGGAGGCTTTGGCTGAAGTGGTTTAGGTATTTCTATGGGTAGAAAGAGCTGTGTTGTGAGGTCTGACAAATCAGTCAGTAATGACCATTTCTCAGGCTTACTGATCATCTTTCGGGACATCTTTCTTTGTAACTTTGGTGAGGGGCAGTAGTCCGGTACAATGTCCTGTGATGTGCTGCATGTTTTCTTAGCTGGAGGAGGAAAGGAAAATTCAAGATGCGAGTCTTGTAGGCTCGAGGTATTCTCAGTCCTGCAGATTACAGAGTCTACTTTGAACTGAGTTATTTCTTCACAATGGACTTTTTCCTGTGGTGCTGACTTGTCTGTAAGCGTTACAGATGCTGGCTGGGAAACTTGTGACCCAGATAGCTCTTCATTACTCTGTAGCTTCAAACATGCATGCGTCATCAGCGGATCCCTGACATCTGTAAACAAAGTTTTAGGGGTTGAAACTAAAGGATAATCACTGTGAAACTGTCCTTTCTCTTTTCCATTTCCTCCACATAGCTCAACAAACACAATGTCCTCCTCTGAATGAACATCCTCTATGCCATCCGCTTCCTCTTCCTCTTGCTGTAAGTTAATGCTCTCAACTTCTAACACCTCCTCTGCCTCATGCTTTCCACCTACATGCTCAGCTTCTGCATGTGGAAGCTCCTTCTCAGGCACAGAACCTGCTTCATCCTGGCACCGACTTTCTCCGCCGGTTGCCATTGAGGAGTCTTTTTCCATGTCTGCTGCAGCATCCCGAGGAATGCTCGGTTGCTCTTGCTCTTTGTTTTTATCCTCGTTGTCTCTTTTAGGCAAATTCCCAGCATTCAATGCCAACTTTCCTCCTTGCTTCCTTTCAGTCTCCCAGTAAGACTCCAGCATGCGATCTAATATTATCTGGAAGGAATCCACGCTGAACTCAAACTGTCTCCGAAGGGAACTGACGAATCTGAGCCCCACGGTCTTGGCTCTGTTGTTAGAGAGCGAGATGAGGCTCCATCGGTCATGCTCATTGAAGACTTTCACCATCTTTTGCACATAGGCCTCCTTCATTGTCAGGCAGGTGATCTTACGTCTGTTAACTCCACAAGGTAGGAGGTCTCGGAGGCTGCCCAGCACCACCTCCTTAATCACCTGGAGGTCCTCCTGCCTGGGCAGCTCCACTCCAAAAATGATGTCTAAGTCTCTATAGCCCAGGCCGTTATCCCTCACTAGGACGTGGCTGGCAGTCGCGCCATTCAGACGTATATCTTTTACCTGGATGTCTCTTTCGACCAGCCGGTCCTTCACCACACGAATTATGTCTTTCGCTCTCACCTGCAGTGTGGGAAAGTTTCCCCGTCCATGGATGGGGATTACCTCAGTCAGGACCTTGTCCAGAGCTTGGACTTGCTCGAGGGTTAGGTTGTGGAACCTCTTCTCCGATTGAAGCTCCATCATCCTTACCTGTGAAATAGAGGGCTGACATATTACATGATGGCTAATGTCTCATGTGGCCAATGAAAGATTGAGGCAGTACAACAGAGTAGAAAACATACTGTTATATAAAAAACAGTTTGCTCTCAGAATATAATAATGCCCTATCCTTGCCCTTTTGTCTCCTGTGCATGCCCTTTTCAAATGCACAGAAAGCTTCTTTTTCTTTACACATTCTCTGTATCATTGCAGCACCTACAAACATATCCTTGAGAATATTTTTAGTCTAGGCCTTCAAAGAGCAAAGCATTTGCTATTTTGTTTTCCTCTGCTCCTCTAAGTCTCTAGTGCACAAGTGCAGAGCAGTCAAACAGATATGAATAACTGTGCCAAAGAGAGATGTTTTCACCCTCGTTCCCTTCTCTGATTGCAGTTTGTGCTATTGATTGTCTTCAACATTTAGCATAAAGGAACAAACACACGTGAGCACAGAGGACTGGGGAGGTATCTGTGCTACCACTAGGTGGCAACAGTATCATAACATATGGCAAAGTCAACTGAATGGCATAGCAAGTGCTTGAACATAAGCTACAACTGATGCACAGTAACTGATTTATTTTTGGGAAAATACACTTCAAACATCACATTCTTAGACATCTTTAGACAGATCACGTCAGAATATTCTCCAATACTGTTGTAATAACAGATATTTGCTTCAATCAATCTCAACCAGACAACAGATGTGTGTGTGCAGATGTGATTGATTAAGCTGTAAAATAAGATGAATGTGCCTACTTCACAACCTGCATTGAGTTTTGAAAGGGAGTTGGGAGTTTTTTTCTGACAGCAGTTCAATACGTTCCAGTATTATTATGAACGTCACCAGTTGTTAGTCACACGAGATAAACATTGAGTTGTCTTCATATTGAAATTCCTCCATGATCATGTGCCTGTCTGCTGTCTACAGGTGACTCACCTGTCTTTCATTCACTGGCTGACAGCTGCAGGGACAATCAGGTTGATAGATCTATAAGGGACAGGCTGTGTGGTATGTATAAGCTCTCTGCCTCTGAAGTAGGAGTGCTGAATCTAAGTTTGTCCTACCAAACAAGGCATATAATGCTGTGGTTATACGCCAGACTGCATAATGTTGCTAATAAACAGAACACTGTTGATTGATAATGTTCTTATTCCTGCTCTTATGATGTGACAATATAACATACAGTACGCTGACTCACTACTGAGGCAAATGGCAGATGCCTTCATTGTTCAGGAATTAGTTAAGGATCCTCTGGGTGTTTTTGAAAGATGAATGCTCTCATCATCCCTTATGCTGCATGCAATAAACTCATCTTGTTATAAAGGGCTTTTAATTATCTACTTTTAGATTTCTTTAATGTTTTGCATTCAGGCTTTAGTCAGTATCAGCACATGGTGATAAAACATATATGGATTTCTAGAGAAGAGAAGGAGATTAAACTTTAACATGAGAATAAAATCTAACAAAGGTTGTTAAAGTTGGAGATGTACCAATATTCAGGTCATCAACATTATTATTATTATTATTATTATGCTCACTTATTTTGTGTATAAGATCAAAGGTGACTCATATTGACATCCTTATAATACACTTATCATGACTAAATCAGCCATGTTACCAAGTAATGTGTATTAAGATAGTTTATATATAGTATGTAGATCAAGATAGAATATAATGCCTTAAACAACATTTAATAAATCAAACTGAACTCAGCTTTAGAGTGACTAAAGACAGACAAAAGAAATTTGCATTGTTTTGGTCATGTGATGCACTGTAAACAGCCTTTCAACATCTGTTGAGTGCACAGTGTCTGTGTTAAAAGCTGTCAGTGGCAGTAAGTCGGGGCACAGGGAAGCGTGGCCCACAGCAGCCTCTAGTGAATCTCAGGGGTTACATCAGCTCGGTCCTGCAGCAGGATTGCTCTCCTGCCACTTGGCTTCTTTATAGATAAGACTATATGAGTCATACAGCCCCTGAATGAAGCATCACTCGTTGGCTCTCCTGGATTATTTCCCCTGTGCGCACAAACGACACAAAATGCACCACTTATGGTGGCGTTCAGGGTCGTGAAATACATCAAATGTTTAGTCAGTAAGCCTGGTTAGTGGATAAAAGCACATTACAGACTATATTATTCAGCCTATAGACTGTCGTGATCTGGAGGCTTATATAGACTATTGGTGGACATTTTAAAACACCCCTATTACCAACAATAATTTGCACAGGCCACTTTTGTGTTTTTGCTGTTTTGCAGTCATTATAATGTCCTCTGGACTCACAGTGTTGCCCATATAAACTAAATCACCAGTTCAAAATAAGCCCAGTATCTGTAGTCTATGGCACATATACCCGTCACAAGACGTAAACGCAGGTCACAAGTTGACAGCCAGTCTTAAGTAAAATGAACATACTAATATTATTTAATTTTTTGCATTAAGGTTTAAAGCTGTAAGGTGAACTGCGTTTTGCCACAATGAGACACAACAATACAACAGCCGCACAATTTTAAAAAACTCACCTGGTTTGTGGCCAAATTAAAATGTAAAAATAAATATAAAGCCAGAGCAGCAACACAAGGAGAGAACAGGAAAGAAAAAACAGTGAGATATCCAACAGGTTTATCCGACCCCGTTGGAGAGGTTGATGCTGAAGTTAACACGGACAGTTTCCTCTCAGCGCAGGAGCACTGTTTCCATGGCAATCAGGCGTCACGAAATTTACGGTAAATCACGACGCTCGGTCTCTCCCTAACTACCGAGTGACAGCGACTCAAGTTTGAAACAAAACAGTGAATCCGAGCGCCATCCAAACGCGTCTTAACACTTTGATAAAGTTTGGACTTTTTATTGGTGGAGCACACCGATATGTGAGGGTGAACTACCGGCGTGCCACCGCACTGCCGAGCCGTTGCAGGGTGAACATCACATCAGACGGAGTGAGTCATCCTCTCTCCCCGCCGTGATCCACACCGTAAATCTAATCATCAATCAACCGCCTTCACCGCCCACTACTCGGCCGGCGCAACGCCACGGCCACGTTTATGTGACTGCGTCCACTCGTTCAACGATAACGACGCGGTGGCGGAGTTAATGTGTTAAAAGTGTCGTGTCAACGGTTAACGGTTAACGGTTAGTTTTTTTTTTCTTCTTTTCATTCACATTTTGCGAGAATGGGGGGGCTCGCTCGTGACGTCGGGTGGAACACCGCCACCACGTGACGCTGACGTCGTTCATATTTTGGTAAGACACCAGGAAGTGGGGAAGAAGGCAAAGACCGAAACCCGAAGGGCTGAAGTTGTGCTGACAAGTTTTGCTTTATTTCACTACTTTTTGGCGGACTTCTCCGTAAGGATTCGGTTGTGTAATCGTTGTAGTCTCGAGGACTCGCCCCCAGATGCCGAACATGGAGAGTATCCTTTTAAAAAACATTGGTGAGAAAGGGACGTGAGGCTGTGGTGTAACGATAACGTCAATATGAAGGCTTATGACCGAGCAATAACAACACGGCTGACACTGCTGAGATTTCTGTGTGACACACATTTGAGACATTGCTACGAGGGAAGGATATTCACCAAAGGCACAGGGGCGGCCTTATTTAGTAACCTGGACATTTCCTAGTCGGTCCCAGGCGTCGTACAATGGGAGAGAAAGGGGCTGAAGGCCTTCGAAGCTTCATTGCTAATGGCTGGGAATACCCAACAACTACAGTTTAACCATGTAGTCGGGATCTTACTCAGGATAATACAAGTAAATAAGTGCTCGGTATAGACCTACGGCTTTATGTTTGACCCGTTTCACCGGGTAATCTTTTTAAATGTAACACAGCGCCATGAAGGTACTTTCACAGGAAGTGCATTAAACATAGTCAAATGAATAGGAAACTCCAAAAATAGCAGTTACATAAGCTGTATTTGTGAATCTGCTCAGTCAAGAGTACAGTTGAGGCTATAGTATCAATTTTAAATAGCAGACGAAAGTGGCTGTTAACTTTAAACCCCATTAAGGAAAGAAAGTAGGGACATACAACCAAGGTTGGTTTACTAATTGAGCTAAGACATATTATTATAGTCTCGATCAAATGTATTTGCAACAATTATTAACAGGATCTGAGTTGAGATAATTACATTAACAATTACAACAGGGATTTAGAGTCATCATGCCTAAATGTCAAGACCTCCCGCTGTTATCTGCTCCTGCAAAACTGGCACAAAAAACCCATTTGTCTTAAAGTTGTCAATAATAATAATAATAACCATCTTTATGTAACACCTTTTAATTCTGAGTTTACAAGTGTTTTGAACAGGATACACATCGGATATGTAATTAAATATAAAACAAATCTTTAAGATAAATACCAAAATATGAGCAGAACAATAAAATTAGTCATCGCAGGTTGCTTGTTGTTTTTGTTTTGTCTTTGTTCTTCTTTAACTTCATTGTACAGAAAATCTCTTCAATTTAAAAATGGCTGCCAAAGAACTCCAAAGAAATTCCAAGAAATGTGACAAAGAGGAGAAAATTGAGAAGGCTAAAGTCAAGAAAGTAAGTTGCACATTACAAAAGCCCACCTGCTGGTGTCGACCACAGAAGAGTTTGAATGAGCCTCTTTATTTTTGTGTCGACTCTAGGCCATCCAGAAGGGCAACACGGACGTGGCGAGGATCCATGCAGAGAACGCCATCAGACAGAAGAACCAGTCTGTGAACTTCCTGAGGATGAGCGCTCGGGTAGACGCAGTGGCAGCGAGGGTCCAAACTGCCGTCACGATGAACCAGGTGCGTTAAATACTGGGTCACTGCGTGCTGCCGCAGCTTGTTTGTTGTCATTTTGGTTTCCATGTTAGTGATGGTGTTTTATTTCTCAGGTCACAAAATCTATGGCTGGAGTGGTGAAAGGCATGGATTCCACGCTTAGGTCTATGAATCTGGAAAAGGTAGAGTGTTATTTACACAATTACACGTTTCCTTTGAGCACAAACTTTTATTTTTAAACTTTTTAATTTTACTTGGTAACAAATTCATCTAAGTTACAATACAATGTCTCACTCCCCTTTTTGTTCAGATTTCAGCTCTCATGGACAAATTTGAACACCAGTTTGAAACTCTGGATGTTCAGACAGCCCATATGGAGGACACCATGAGCAGCTCAACAACACTCACAACACCACAGGTACATTTCTCTTTATTCTTTCTTTTTGTCTGACGGTGTGTTTGAAAGAAATACGCATTCACTGTAAATCTAATGTGTGTTTCAGAATCAAGTGGACTCGTTGCTGCATGAAATGGCAGATGAAGCAGGGTAAGCTTTGTCCTAACCTTCTCTGTTTGTGGCAAACATTATTATAGTAAAGGCGATAGATTGCAGCGTAAATAGTGGTTGTTAATTGAATGTTGGTTTGTGCATTATGTTTAGATTGGACCTGAACATGGAGCTCCCTCAGGGCCAGACAGGATCAGTGGGTACCAGCGTGGCCTCTGCAGAACAGGTACGTGTGCAGACGTGGTACAGATAAACTTTAGGTATAGATTCAAAAACTTTACATAAACAAGATTGTGATTGCTTGTAGCAATGTAAATTAAAAGTTTATCACATAGATTGTGTAATAAATAGACACAGGTAATGTGATTACAGCAAAGACATTTAAAGGTCTGAAGTGTATATAATATAATATTCATAGGTATGTTTTCATTTGTGGATAATCACCTGAATATAAGAATCCTTGTGTTTTTGTTACCTTAGAATGATCCGTTTTTATCTACAGACACCGTGGGTCGCCTTTCACGGAGGCCCCCATGTTTCTATAGTAGACCAGAATGGACAAACCAATCAGGGCCTTTTGCATTTTTTGCATGTTATGCTGCCACCGTGGTTTCTCCTACACACTTTACAGCCCGTTCTCAGTCCCAGGTCATCCAATACAGACACCAGAGGTGTTCAGTTAGTTGCAATTTGCAACTTCACCATTAGATGGCACAAAATCTTACACCTGGTCCTTTGCAGTATTTGCAACAACTTTAATGGAATGGATTCTCCACATAATCCTGATATAACTCCTCATCTTCATCTTCCTCCCTAATACCCATCTTTGCTCTCTCTTTATCCAAAGGATGAACTGTCTCAAAGACTCGCCAAACTCCGAGATCAAATGTGAAGTACGCCTGCAGTGGACTTCAGATGTGGAGCTCTGGAACACGTGTACACTACCTGAATATTACTCCCAAATACCTTTTTATGTACATCGAGTCTTTTCTCCTCTTTTCATCCCGTGTGTCTCTGTCGAGGAGCTACTGTATCATGTTTTTGTTTGTTTCTGCAGATAACGGGCCCCTATTGGTTCTGAGTTAATAATAACCTTTGGATACCTTTAATGTAAACTAACAGAGATGCTGGTTGTGGAAAATTTATATATTTCTCAAATATACATATTTACCCATGAGGAAGATTAGCTTTATTGTTTAATATGTATACTTAAGAACTGCGTATATTGTTTGAAAACATGAAGCGTGACAGTTATTACTGTGTGTTTATAGGCTGATTTCATATACTCATGGTGAATACGCTTAAGGTTTTGGGCTATAGAATTAAATTGTTGGTTCATACGTGCATGATTGCAGAAAACATGCATTTATCTCTTCTTGGTATCAAAGAGTTAAAGACCTTCCCCCTTCACTGTTGGGTTGATTTGTTGTATCGGATGTTAAGTCCGTGTGTTTGTCTGGTCATCTTCAGGATTTTCACTGATCATTTGGGAAGGGGTTACATACAGCGAGTAAGTAATAAAATTTTATAATACTTTTATCTCTTTGCCTTTTCAATAAATCAATTTATAATTTTCTGTATTTCCATATAAATCTCTCTTCCATCTGTAGTGAAAGTGAGCTACAAAACAAAGTCAGATATTGCAGTACTGCCACTTCCAGCTGTCACGGTGTGAACAGGCGACAATGGGTATTATTTATCGACATTATGTAGGTACCAATGTTTGGATACAATAAATGCCATCTAGCTAACATCCTCAGAGAACCAAAAGAATAACAGCTGAGACAGTACATCCAATATGAAGCCTTCATAAGAACTGTCAGACATTTGGTGAAATACTTTAATATAAACATAAAATATGACATGAAGAATTGCAGGTGTGTGACATCTGACCACGGCCTTACTAAGTACTAGTATTTAGTACTAGTAAACAAGTGGTCCAAATCAGCTGCCACATCTTGCTCCATTGCATGCAGATGAAATCAACTAATCCATCAGTGTGGAATCTAAAACGTCTATTTCTGAGCAAGAAAAAAACAACCATGTTCAGAGAGATGCCAGTGTCATTTGGGAAGGTTATTAGTCTGCCATGGGCATGGTATTAAGGATATGTTCATAAATATATAGAATTTCTTAAGGACAGCTCAGTATACGGTCTAGAATCTCTCACTACTGCTTATTTATCTCACTGGTCTCTTTCCTTTGACTGGTCAAATGCGCACTTTGCTCCAGATGTGACCCATGGTTGTATAAACCCACGCACACACATAGTTAAAGCCTGTGTACTACTACTCTATATAAATATAAATGCTGAATGAGAGTCACAGAAGATAGTGGGACAGCAGTCTGTTGTTGTTTGTTACTGCACAGGTTCCAGCAATCAAGAAACACCTCATCGACACATCCGGTGAAAATCAAAATAAAACAACAATCGAAAGAGAAAGACAGAAATGGGATGCCCCGGGTGGCTCACCTGGTGGGGCTGGGCCCTTAGTGCAGCGGCCATGGGCTCGGGTCCGACCTGTGGCCCTCCTCCCTCGCTCCTTCCTATCCACCTTCAGCTGCCCTGTCCATTGGGGGAAAATATATATTTTTTTAAATAAAGAAAGACAAGTTTGGGCGCCATGTTTGAGTCCAGTATCCAGTTCCGACATTCACGGTGAGGGTGCTTTAACCATAAATGTATGACTTCTTATTATAAGAGCTCTAATAATACAGCCTCAGCTTCAAACCTCCATAATCATGACTGTTTACTGCCATCTAGTGGTCATTGGGTCGAACAGCAACATTATATTATACTCGTGTATATAGATTTATTTATACTGATATGTAAACGGCATTAATGTGATTGTATTAATATTAACGGTATATGTTATAACTATCAATATTAATAATAACAGTGTTTTTTAAAAGGATGTCTCCCTACATCATTGGGCAGGTGTTATAGTGATAGCACTGTTTACTTTATAACAGTAAATATTGGCTTGTTGATTTTTACTTTCTCATACAATCTGTTTTAATTACATTTTATTCCAAAGGATATTCATTTATTTTCACATCTTAAGACCTAATGTGTTAGAGACACAAATTGTAAAATTGTATTATTTATAGTAATTATTATTTATTAGTGTTATTAGAGTTATCTAAACTCATTCATAAATTACCATGCCAACCACTAAATTACGATCTACAGGAAGACATTTAACATAACTATTTATTTCGGATTGTTCACGTTATTTATTTTAGTTTGTAGGTGAGTAAGGAGATTAATTAACTTAATTAAATTTTTTTACATATTCACCTTTAAGATAAAGATAAAGGTTTAAGATAAAGGTGAATACACTCCTTTTAAAAGCCTTTAGTTGTTTCTTGTAATATCCTCACTCTTGGCCTACATGTTTACAATTTTACATTTACAAATAATATACTTAAAATATTTTAACACATATTTTTACCTTTCCGCTGACCTCATCTGATTTATTGATTGATTTTGTATTGATTTTACTTGTTGTTTTTTGTTTTTGTAACGGAGCTGTCCGTCACGCAGAAACTGGAGCGTTTTTATGTCATCATGTGACTTTGTCGTAAACAGGAAGCAGCTGATCTTGACTTCACTGCCTGCTCCTACCAAGTAATGTATACAGCTGTTATTCTTACAGGCAAATAGAAACCACAGTGTGAAGTTTCTTCAGTATAAGTGGCCGTTCTGCTCCGTCTGGGTGAGTAGACGACACACTTCTGGATTTTAACTTAGCTAGCTAGCCGTTTAGCTTGGCTAAGCTACATGACACTTATCTGGACTGTGTGTCGTGCTAGCTAGCTAGCTTAGCATTAGCTGAGGTGTTTATGCGGAGAAAGAGGAAACGAGTTTAATAAAGTTAGTAAACTGCTGATATACTCTCGTATGTCGAGTAAGCTCGTGGCTGGGTACACATGTTTGTTGGTCTTTGAAGCGTTTACACTCGTCCTGTGGAGTTAGTTGTGTTTCTGCTCCAGTCAGTGACAGCTAGGTGAAGATATTTGTGTTTGTTCTGCAGCTGAAGGAGAGGAAGAGGAAGAGGAAGAGCAGAGCTGCTGCGGACTCACACTAAAGTCATCTGACTTTCAGCTCAGAGAAATACTCTACATCGTGCCTGTTGAGGGGGATGTCAAGCACAGCAATGAAGAAAAAGGTAAAAGGCAAAGGCTAATCGATCAGTGTATGTACTGAAGTGTTGTACTTTATATTAAGGTGCTTGTACTTCCATTTAATGCATCTACACAGTTGGTCACATTTAGAGCATTGCCTGTTTTCCAATGCGTTACAGTCAGACCCTCCATAATAATGGAAAATACACAATTTGATATGCAGTATTTCATTAGATCTGTCTCATAATAAACGTATAGGTGGAGAGTGTCTATGCAGGACTTGTAACAACATTGTGGTAAAGTTCCCACTTCTGTTTTGTACTTTGAGAACAATCAATGCTTCATTTGGTTCATTCTCTCAGTGGCTCTGGTGACCTGTTAACCATGGTTGGCTTTTTAAAGTTCATTTTTAACCTCTCTAAATGTGACTGATTTTATTGGCAAATCAGTTTATTTGAATTAAAATAAAATGATAAGATTTAGTATTTCTCCCTCATATTCCTGGCAGTGCAGAGAACAGTCTGAAGCAACATTTCAGACTGTTCAGAAAATATTAAAGGAACAATTAAATTAATAAATGGAAAGAGTCTGAATTTTTCTTCCACTGCAGGTCATGAGATTAGCGGAGAGGTTGGACTTCAGCGACGGTCTAATCTGTTGAATTTGTGCTTTCAGGTGTTACTGATGGGAAAAAGTGGGTCTGGAAAGACCAGTATGAGATCAATCATCTTTGCCAATTACATAGCTCGAGACACACGCCGCCTTGGAGCTACAAGTAAGACTACTTTAAATAAGAGTGCAACATAAAGATTTTTCTTTAATCTCATCTGTTAATGAATCATTTTATCCTTTGTTAAATGTAGTTGACGTGGAGCACTCCCATGTACGGTTTCTTGGCAATCTGGTTCTAAACCTGTGGGACTGTGGAGGGTAAAGTACATTTGTTCATTAGCTTAACTTTGCACTAGCTTTGACAATTCACAGACTTTCCCCTAATCTGTGGAACGCTGCCCTGTGCTTCCTTTACCCATCAGACAGGACACATTCATGGAGAACTACTTCACCAGCCAGAGGGACAACATTTTCAGAAATGTAGAGGTGCTTATTTATGTATTCGACGTTGAGAGCCGTGAGCTGGAGAAAGACATGCACTACTACCAGTCGTGTCTGGAGGCCATCCTGCAGAACTCCCCCGATGCCAAAGTGTTCTGCCTCGTTCACAAAATGGATCTGGTGCAGGAAGACCAGAGAGATTTGGTAAGCTTAAGAGTTTTCATCTGATTGTTAATAATGGTCTCCCTCTCTTGTGTTCACAGTATCACCAGTAACACACATTTGAAACTCCACTCCTAGTGGTAGAACTGTATTGAAGTAATTTTACCTGAAGCTGACAATCTTGAGGCAGATTTGTTACTAGCATGAGAATAAAGTGGCATTAAACCATTTTATAATATTTTATTTGAGGGCAATGAAATCATGAGGGTGACATAAATTAGCCGGTCATGACACAAAAATGTACCTCTAACAAAAAAAGTGTAGACACATACACAATACAGCCTACAATTAGGCTACATACATCTACACATCTGCTTTAGATGATGATGATGATGATGATGATGTAGAATAAGGGCAATTTGAATTGACATGTTTCTATATTTGTGTCATTTTTCTTTTTATACATTTGTTATTGATGTTTAGTGAGGAAGAGCACTAAAAGCTAGACGCTGTCCATGTTTTTACAGATCTTTAAGGAGCGTGAAGAAGATCTGAAGAGACTGTCCCGTCCTCTGGCTTGCACGTGCTTCCGGACGTCAATCTGGGATGAAACCCTGTATAAGGTTGAGACGTTTGACCAGTTTCACGTTCAGATGTCTGTGGATAAAGTCGACACTGTAAGAAACACTTTGTAACTGTCTTTACAGGCCTGGTCCAGCATAGTGTACCAGCTCATCCCAAACGTCCAGCAGCTGGAGACAAACCTGAGAAATTTTGCGCAGATCATAGAGGCAGATGAAGTTCTTCTGTTTGAAAGAGCCACTTTCCTGGTGAGAGCAACCTTTTCGTCCGGCACCACGGTGCCCTGAGCGGGACATCTGGATCTAGTAATGAGAGTTTGTTTGCTTTTTGTTGTTTTGTGAATGCAGGTGATCTCCCACTATCAGTGCAAAGAGCAGCGTGACGCTCATCGGTTTGAGAAGATCAGTAACATTATCAAACAGTTCAAACTCAGCTGTAGGTAAGTTCACGCTGCAAAAACACTCCAATCGCTCCACACATCACCTGCTGAACCTTTGTGTTTCTGATTAAAATTATTATTTTTTTTTTATTCAGTAAACTCGCGGCCTCTTTCCAAAGCATGGAAGTGAGGAACTCCAACTTTGCCGCCTTCATTGACGTCTTCACCTCCAACACATATGTCATGGTCATCATGTCGGACCCCTCCATTCGTAAGTAGCGGATATGACATTTCTCTGCGGTGCATTCAAGAAACCAAATCAGTTAATAAAAATAAGAAAATCCATGTCTTTTCTTTTTTCCCAGCATCTGCAGCCACTCTCATCAATATCCGTAATGCTAGGAAACATTTTGAGAAGTTGGAGCGGGTGGATGGACCCAAGCACAGCCTGCACATGCGAATGCGCTAGCCAGCGCCATTGTCCCAGTGGATACTCTCAGCCAATCAGTCCACAGACAACATGTTGCAGCTTCCCAGCTCCGATGCATATGAGCAGCCCTGCACTGTTTCCTCTATATCTTCACATTCAATCACAGTTATTACGGGAGAAATCATATTTTCTTTTCCTCTACAGTGATCATAAGTATCTTGAACAGCGATACTTTCTGTTGAAATATTTGCCCTAACTTGACACATTAAAGTAAAATGAATAGTTGTGTTTACTCTGAAGGGGGCTACTTTTGCTGGCACACTTTGTCTTATACAGTAGATTCATTTCCTCCATGCAGTGAGTCCCAGTGATCGGGGGATGTTGTCCCCAAATGATAAGCAGTAGATACTGTTTGATTTTCAAATGCAGTTTGTAAGCTGTTACACTTTGAAAGTACGAACAATATAGTTATATTCAGAAAAATATAATTTGTAATGTGTTTTTTCTGCTTTTATACGTCAGCAGCGCTCACTACTTGATCAACATTTACAAAAGGGTTATATTTACAGTAAATATGTGTATATATGTATATATTTGTACGTATTTACTTCCTGTACAAACCATCTTGCTCAGAGATGGTTCATGTTTCACTGCAGCGTCTCTGACCATAAGGCATTTTGACACTGCACCAGTTGTTCTGCACACATGACATATAGTGGCAAATGTTTGATGTTTAGGCGGTAGGGGGTGTGTGTGTGTGTGTGTGTGTGTGTGTGTGTGTTTTTTGTGTATTTGGGTGGAAGGGGGTACATGACAGTTCAGTGCACCTGTTGCACGAGTTGCATGGAGCAGACAGCAGTGCATGTGCAGATGGAGCAGCATGTTTGAATTACAATCAGTTCATTGCATTGAATTTAACAACATGACAAACAGCTTGTTTTAATTTCCTTCGTTAATTTCCTAAACATTCATGATTATGGATGAACACTGTGTGATTAGATTGAAGGTGGTTAAAGTTGATTGTAATGAGTTAAGATTGATACACCAGCCTGGGGAGTACCAGCTCACAAAAGTTATACATTCTCTGCCTACCAAATCCCACTGAACACTTGGTTTCAACATAAAGCGTCTTCCTCCAACATAAATTCTTGTTGAATCCAATGATTAGAAAGAATATACTATATACCACACTGGATTACCCATGAAACCCTTGAACCAAGTACTGCATTTCCTCAGTCTGTAGGTAAACTAGGTGTAAATCGCACACGCACTGCTGTGATTGTTAAAAGTGTCTTTCAGTTGGACAGATGTTATTACAGGTTAGTACTTCTTTTGTATTTTGCTGCCTATACAAAACTGAAAGTTAAGACAATCAATGAGCTTCTCCTCACTTCTGCTTTTTATTTATGTCAAAGCATTATTTGAGCCAACTAATCCAACCACAACCTAAATCTAACTCAGCACTGTTTTGGTGATTTGCAAGCACATTTAAATGATATGTTTATTTTTTTTATTGAAATATAGTCATTGGAATACTATAATGATAATCAGTGATTATATTTATTGAAATCTAAAAACATTTTTCTATCAGATTTAGCTGATATATAGAAATGTTTTGGTTTACTAAATCTCTGATGCTTACTGGAAATTTCATATCATATTTAATCTCATATTTATTAAGATTGAGATCTTTATGTTTGATATCTATCTAGATATGTACCTGTCATAGCTTCTATATGATACAGAAGAGAGTCACTGGAGATCTGTCCATGGCACTTGATCCCACCCACTCCTCGAAGGGCTGCAGGGGATATGAACTCATTACCTCCTGCCTCTTTATTCTAGCTAGCTCTGCCGCAGAGGCATTGTTTCAGCTGCGCTTATCGACACTGCTCATGTGGTTGACTTGTATCCTGGAATGTAGACGCTGAACAACGGGAAAACCCCCAGTCCCTTGCTTCAGAGAGTGAGTCTGCATTATAGAAATGGGAGAAACAAAATGCAAACAGAGACTCGTTTTAATAGAAGATAGGCAAAGTAAATTTTATAGCAAATAAAAATCGCATTTGTCAACATTTGACTGCAAATTGTGAGGGAGTCACTAACTGAGCCAAAATCATTTTGAATGCAATAACTCTCCTTAGATGTCCCACAACAGCCAAAGTAGGGAAGAAAATGTTAAAAGCTTGTTATATTGATCGTCATTCATTACCTGATTCAGATCTAACTTGGAACATTGGGACACTGGAAAATAATTGTGTTTGTGTATGTGAACTCAGCAAATCACCCTCTACCGTCTCTCCTCGGAGTTTTTCCCCAGGAGGAGCAGCAAGAGACGAGGTGTGCAGGCCCAGAGCATAATATACAACATGTCGAGAGAACTGTATCCCTCTGCTGACGCAACTGAACATAGGATGTTTACAAACTATGACAGCCAGCAATTTTCAGTGCTCCACAGTTAGAAAAGTGACATTTGAACTTAATATGCAGGTTTTTAATGTTTTTCTCTTCATTAAAGTATTCTCCATGCAGTGATTTAGCTTGATCTGGGAGGTAACTTAAAAATCACCTTCTGAACCCACATTGAACTCACTGGTTTTGGCATAGACAAGAACTCTGCATAGGCACAGCAGTGTCCACTTTCTTTTCATGTTTATTGACATGCAGACATCTCTTTACACTCAGCTAAACTGATCAAAGCATTCTCACAATAGTGGTTAAAAAGGGTGCCATGGGTTTTTCCTCTACTCTTAATGAGCCTTAATAAAAGTATTTCAGGAGGTATCTAAAATCTTCTTTGTAACACGGTTAATGTTTTGATGTCGGGCTCTTTTTGTCCTCTGTTTGTACATTATTCTGATGTGGAGAGCCATCTGTATGGACGACAGGCCCAGGGTCTGTTTCATTGACCATGTCTGCATCTGCATCCATGTCATCGCTTGCGTCTGCGCCGCAGTCCGTTTGATTCAGCTGCCGCTCCAGCAGAGTGATGCGCTGCTTCAGCCGTTGCTGAGTGTGAGTGTACTCGCTGAGCAGACGGGCAAAGCGAGTCTGAAGGGTGTCCAGGGAGGACTCCAACCTCTCCACCTTCTCCTCTGCGTCCTCTTTCTGCAGCCCGCCACCCTCTACGTTCTCATCCAGCAGACCCTCCTTCGTCAGGATCTCCCTACCCCTCTCCTCTAGCACAGTCTTAGCATCTGGATACTCAGTCACTGCCTCCATCAAGTCATCCTTAGAGAGGCAGAAGAGATCAGAGTAGCCCAAGCTGCGGATATTAGCTGTTCGACGATTGCCCATTTTACTACCTTTTATGTTCAGAATGCTGATTTCTCCGAAGCAGCTGCCAGCGGTGAGGAGAGCATACTGCGTGACCCCGTCATCAGCCACCACTGCCAGCTTCCCCTCTTTAATGATATACATCTCCTTTCCTATGTCCCCTTTTCTGCAGATGTAGTCCCCAGGGCTGAAGACCTGGGGGCGTAGTTTGAGCACAAGCTCCACAAGCAGTCCTGCCTCACAGTCTTGAAAAATGCGTACTTTCTTCAGGGTCTCCAGGTGTACATTAATTGCTATCTCAGCACGCAGCTTGTTTGGCAAGTTCTTTAGCACTTCCTGCTCGTCGACCGCTTTCTTGTTGGTCCAGAGGTAGTCGAACCATTTAATGACACGTGTCTCCAGTTCTTTGCTGACTTTGCGGAAGTGCATGTAGTGTTTGATGGCATCGATTCGAGCTTGAAACTCGGCACGCGTGGCATTCATGTTGGAAATCATAGAGCCAACGTTTCCCACAATTGTGGCAAAGATCAGCACTCCAACAAGAAAGTCAAAGACCACAAATAGGTACTCTTCGTCTCGCACAGGCGCAGGCATCTCTCCAATAGTGGTAAGAGTAAGAGTGGACCAGTACAGACAGTAGACATAACTCCGAGTCAGGGAGGAAAACTCAGGTTTGGAGATGTTTGGGAACACCCAAGTGTCCGAGCCAAATCCCAAGGACTTGGATATAGCGTAATAGATGCAGGCATTCCAGTGAATGATGACCAGGATGTAAAGCACCAAGTTGCCAATACGGAAGATGTTTGGATAGTTGGTGCGTGTCTCAGTGCGGTCAAAGAATTCAAACATGCGTGGGAAGCGCAGCAGACGGTTAAACCGGAGCTGTGGTGTGTGGATGCCGGTGGAGATGTACGCCAGGTCGGTGGGCAGTATGGACAGTACGTCCAGCTTGAACTGCAACGTTCGTACATAGCTGTCTCTAAGCTTGGCATGGTCCTTCACCATCAGACCTTGTTCCAGAAACCCTGAGACAAGAAACAGAAAGCACAGTCGAACAGTGAGTTACTGTTGTGTCTTATGTCTTTAAATCAGATCATATTATGGGATGAAAAAACTTAAAGCTGCACCTATCAACTTTTTATACTAACAATGGATCAAATAACAATATTAAATGTAAATGGTGTAGCTTGTACTGACAAACCCACAGAGAATTATCACCTGACTCTGCAGTTCCTCTTAGCTCCTTAGAGCTAAGAGGAACTCTCTCCCACAACTATTTACTGTTTCATTAAACCAGTTTCCAGCATTAACAGCCAGCTATTTTCAGTGATAAATCTCTGATGAACCCACTGCATGCTACCTGTCCAGCATCAAATGGCAGACAGACAGTTAGTGGCTAGCTTGTGAATAAAGAGCAACATTTAGCTGCTAAAGACATTTCCCTCAAGAGTTGGTGGAGGAAAAGAAAAATCTAAAAGTAGAACAAGATGATAATACATCAGTGTTGTGTTTACAGCTTTACTGCTCCTCCCAGAAGTCGAATTATTGGTTATTGGGCTTAGAGTGACGTAACCTATACCATTTTCTACCAGGATTGTGCTTCCAAAAACAAAAACATATGTTATCAGAAACATTTTAAAGGCATACTATGCAGGCTTTTCCAAACAAAACAATGGATGCTTGTAGTTATATTGACCAACAAAAGCAGCCTCCTACAACCTTGCAAACACTACCTGATTGGACAAACGTGTTTCTGCTCCTTGATTTCATTTTGGTTGGAAACTACCTCTACATTACGAAAATAACATATTACAATAGTATCAACCAAGTTATATTGTTGTCTGTCTTTCTCCTCCCTCTGCTCTGTGTCTATGTCCTGAATGCATAATGAGCTGCAGGTCTGCGTCTGTTTGACTGAGGATTGACAGGATGCTACATCTACAAACTACACTTCAGCTGCATTCACACAAAATCCAGATACATATGTAAAAACTTCCTGCAGAGGTGTAGCCATGTTCTTTTCTACTTTAGAATGTAACTGCTGTGAGAAATTGGTAAATAACATTTTATTTCTGATTCCCTGCTTTGTTGCTCCCTCTCCTCATTCACGCTCTATGTAGCTCAACCAAAGGTGCTGCTCTCACTGGCTGGCTCAAGCCAGGGAGGACAGGCCAGCTTTGAACAACAAATCATGCATGGTATGCCTTTAAAGATAATTATCTTTGAATAATCACATAAAGAAAATACATATGGGGCCTTTAAGGCTCAGCACCTGTTGTGTAATACAACTGCATTGTGTCTTGATGCCACAAGCTGCATTTAAAGTAGGTTACCTGTGCGAAGTCGGACGCAAGTGTCCATTAGGTACACAGTGTCAGAGAGGTAGTCCAACACCAGCCAGCAGATATAATTGCCCACCTGTAACTTGTCAAAGCAGGCCCTGTGAGTATAAAAAGAAAAAATGATTTACTGTACACAGTACAACCATTCACTACATCCATCATCCATCTCTGGAGGCTGCAGGGCCCCAACAGAACACACAACGACCATGGTGTTATTACCTCGCTACAACAAGGAACCAGTTGTAGAGCACCGCTGTGGCGATAACAAATAACCAGCGGTAGTAGGCGTTATCGGATGGGGACACCACAAACAAATTCCACTTTTTCCTGAAAGCATGGAGAGATTGCAAATGATACACTCAGTCTCTGTAGAGTAGTACATATTACTGCAAAGATACACAGAAAAATAGAACCAGCTGCGAGATATAAAACAATGCATAGCTCTGCAGTAAATACTATTATTTTAACAACTGAGAATTCAGTTCTTTGTGGTCTTTTTTAGGGCTTTGGGTATTAAATTCAAATGT